GGTATACTACTAACTCAAGACAGGTTAGGCGCTGTGTGATGACGCTTCTCTCGTATCTAGGCAACACAGTCTCTTAAAGGCACATTTCACAATTTTGGCTGTTACATTGTGATTAAGAAGTTGTTTCATTAAGCCAACTCTATTCAAGTCCGGTTTAATAACTGACTCGGAAAACACAGACTGGAGATATTAAACACAGATCACATCAATTCACAATGAAATACATTGCCATTAAGAAAACAATGCAATGTTCATGGCCAGAGCAGCAGATATTATCTATAATACAACAGGACAACATGAACAGGACCGCAGCAGCAGTGAGCTGAAGTAAAGATGAAGGTCTATTGTTGCTGTGCTCTGACAGAAACCATATCATTGTGGGGTACTATGTGTTATGGTAAAAATGACACTTCCTATGAGGGCTAGAGCCACACGCCAAAGTTGTTTGTTATCGCAGTGCACTTTGCACATGTTGACTGGCTTACTTTGCAGATACTTTAGACTGACAAAAAACAATGACATATTTAAGGGGAAGCAGTAAGTGCAGCTTCTGTCAAAATGCGATAAATTTGACATTTGCTACAAAGTCATGTATGCTGACAGTTTAGCAGCTAAGAGGAACTATCAGGAAAGAAGAAACACTGTGTGTCAGTCTGACAGATTGACGGTAACACTGACTAAGTCTAAGGTGAAGCTAAAACTGAAAACTGCCAGACCAGCGGACACATGTCTATATATTGTGAGGAGCACGGTTTATGTATTTTTTTCTATTTGATACCAGATCAAAGTTTGTTTTGACTCATCTTGAAGACTAGATACCATCAGTCAGAAGAACCTCATGATTAAAAAAATAAATAAAGTCACGTGATGAAATAAGTGTGTGCCCACAATCGATTTTATGATCCGCCTTTCCTGCATTGCTATGTTTCCTGTGTTGCTACTGTGGCTTCAGATAAGACTAACCACACAGATCACTGTGTGACTTCCCCAAATAGATATAAAACACAAAAACACACGTTTACTCGGTATCTGTGTGTTTGTAGAAAAAAAAAACACCATTTCAATACAGGGCCACAACTATGTAAAAATATATTTCTTTTATGACACAAAACATCAAAATACACACAGCAACTGGAGACTTCATTGAGGACATAATGGTGTGTACCTCACCCACAATGACAGACAATGGGTCATAGGTCTTAGAAAAAAGAAACCGCAATAACAGAGATAGTGTGTGATAGATTTGCATAGCACCTATTTTTATGAACAACCCTGTTCCCACACTCACTCAGACACCAAGTTAAAACATTTCAATGGCTTACAATGTCTCTTGAGTACATGGTGAAATATATCTATATGAAATCGTTTCTGTGATCGTGTTTGTCCATCTGATTACCGGTGTTGGTCTGCCAGGCTACAGGCACGGCCTCAACAGACAGAGCTGCTGCTGCTGCTGTTGCACGTTTCCATGTAGACAAACTCTGTGGAGGGCAACAGTGAAACTGCATTAGAGTTGAGTGAACAGCATTTCATACCTTATATGGGACTCATTGATGTACCACAAACATCAAAACACACACAAAGTTTATTGCGTGAGTGCATGAACCAGATTTAAGGTTATTTTTCAGGATGTTTTTGTAATTTGACAAAAAGGAAAATACTTCATATCAAAACATATAAAACTGCACAAGTGTGTGTGTCATACCTCCAATGCTGCTGTATTGTAGCTGTGTTTTGACCAGTGGATCTGTGAGGGGGGCTATACTAACGTCAGAGGCTGCGGCCCTTCTGTAGCCCTCTATCAGTGTTTCCAGAGTCCTAAAATTCTGCAGTCTGACTCCTGAATCCTGCCAATCACACACACAGGAAACCATAAAGATGCTTCTGTGTGTCTGTGTGTGTGTGTTCACTGACCTGCAGACTCCAGCTGTCAGTGGCATGTACGAGCCTGTAGGTGTGCACAAATGGTGCTTTCCTGCAAAACACAAAGTTGAGAAATTTGAATGATTTGCTGTGAATGTGTCAAATCTGAAACTGCACAAGTGCACGTACATGTTCCGATGTGATGATTAAATCTGAAAGAGACGATGACACACTAGACACAAGTAAAAACCAGACCTCAGTAATTGCTTTATCAATCTTTATACAGAGCAATAAAACTTATTTTAATCCATTTAAATCATCTAATTATTCTTTATAGATACATTATATAGTCCTTTAGAATTTCTTTACAATTTTCCAACTTTCTTTCTTTTTTTATTTTTATTCTGTCTTTTAAAATTTGGTCTACTCAGATTTTACTATTTCAGGTATTTGCGTCTTACGTATAATATTTCTGTTGAACGCAACTTTATACTACTTCTCCGCTACACTAGAGGGAAATATTGTTCTTTTTTCTACATTACATTTCAGTTTAGAAAATATTTATTTTTATAGATGCAACTCCCCAACAGTATACAGTTATTAAAATTAGCGTAGCTCTATACCTTGACAACATGCAGATGCTGCTTCCAATATATATATATTTTGAAATTCATTTTGCGTAGTGAGTACACTAAGTACAATTTACTGCTTTACTTGAGTACATTTTTAAATGTAAGACTATTTTTCATTGTAGTATAGTATTTTTGTTTCAGTAAAAGCCCTGTTTACCTCTTCCACTGCAGTCAGTACATATTCTTTCTACTTTACCAAGGTGGACATTTCTATTACAAGTGGTTTTGTTTGGTCTGTTTTTGAGTTTTACTGTGGTAGAATTTGTTGACGCGTTCCCTTTAAAATAAATGTCTGCAGTGCCAGCAAATACATTTAGACAAAAATTAGAAAACCACTGTTTTGTTTTAGATCAGTAGTTCAGTGTGGTGCTATCTAAAAATATTTAATGTCAATACGTCTCATGTACTGTAAATATGGTGTCTGAAACTGTAGCTGAAATGAAACGGCCAATGAATGTCTGTGTTTCTCATTCTATAATGTGGATTTACATAGACAATTTTCCATGGATTGAGGCTTCTCTATATTTTCCCCAGTGTCACAATACAACATTACACATTTTCCTGCATCAAATATCAAACACAGCAGCAGGCAGAAAACTAAAGACACGATTTAATGTTGTTTAAATGAATATCATAACATGGGAGAGCACTTAATTTAACAGTTACACATGATGTATTTAAAATATAAGTTTGTAACACTTCTGTGTTATTTTCCAGGTACAGTTCTGTTTGCCAATGTTTGCCAACTTTCTATGTATTTATTTTTGTGTTTTTAAACTGTCCTTACACCTTTTTCAGCACAAAGTCAGTCTGACATCTCCTTTTGTCAATTTAACAAAGTATAAAGCTGTCAGGAACCAACAATGCAGGAAAAAACTATACACAAATAAATGTAGAACAGTTCAAGGTTGGAAAAAATATTTACTATTTATACACAGCTAATACTGTCCATTTACATGTAAAGTGACTTTTGTCCCAACCTTTTTTAATTTTAAGTCTATACATGCCATGAAATCTCTGAAAATGTTTATAATTCACAGATTTACAGATTTATTTCAGTTTTTTAATGATATAGAGACATAAATGCAACGTCAGCAAAAAGCCCTACGTTTTAATTAATTAATTAATTAATTTTTTTTTTCTAATTTTAGTTTAATGTATGTTTAATGTATGTTTTGTATTTTGTATGCTACTGATGGGTTGAATTTCCCTCGGGATATATAAAGTACTATCTATCATCTATCTATCTATCTGATCTATCATTCTATCATATCTATCATCTATCTTCTATCTACGATAAATAAAACATGTTCAGTGTATTCACCAATGGATAGATAGCTTAAATGAAGAATGATCCAAACTACAAAACATAATGGTTCAACAAAACTGGATTAAAAATGTCACTTTTAGTCACCTTTGTACAACTCAGTCACCGCTCACCTCACACACAGACAGTAGGCTCCCTGCACAGTTGCGCTGTCTCTCAGCAGAAAGCTGCCCTCATGTCCAAACCTCTCCAGCAGCCTCTCCGTGACCTCGCTCCCAATTCTTCCGTAGTAAATAGAATGGACCAGCATCCCTTCTCTCTCCATGTTGCCTCAGAGGCAGGCACCCATATGTGCTGAAGATGTTCGGGTGCAGCAGGTTGTAGCAGCAGATAAGTGTGTGAAAGTTTGAAGCAGGAAAAGCTTCTCTGGTTTTCACACTTTTCTGTTATGCGGCTGCAGCTCACATGTTGTGCATCAACCTGAACAATGGCTTTTATCTGTCGAAAAGCGAAAGTACATTTTTGCCTTTGATGACATGATATTCTTTGTTTGGTAAGTAATAAAACAGAAAAACATCCTCACAAAATAATTAATACTAATTGCTCAGTCCTCAAGCCTCTAGGCTCTACCACCCACTCCACCAGTTTTTCTTTTTGATAACCCACTTGAGTTGTCACACAGTTTTATACAATTAAATCAAATATTTAACTGCTACTTACATATTTCAAGAGAACTTGTATGCACAGTCTTCAGTACCCACTCATATATATTTGGACAGCTGTATGGAAGTGGTTTATGATAAAGTCACAGCTGGGCGAGGGAGGGGGGGGGGCGCTGAGCAGACAGATTTCTGCAGACACTAACGTCCTACAAACTAACCGCCAGCCAACTCACGCAGACACAAACTCACAAAAACAAAGACATTAAACCCACACACTGGATGTGGTTGTATTTAGCACTGTTGCCTGTGTTTACACATTTAAGAGCTTTTGTGCAAAAAGCATTTCAGAGCAAAGTATTTCAGATTGCACCCAATCGCTTCACCTTCCCCTTCCAAGAGCCAACGAGAAACTACAGAGGCCACAAAAAAAGCGAACACCCCTGTCTGGTGCCAGTATATCATTTGCCCCTTCGGGGCTACTGTAGAAACATGTTGGTTCAACATGGATGAATCCATGGAAGGCACTGAAGATATAAAAGGCTCATTCTAAAGTAACACAAACATAACGATTCCTATTTAGCTGATTATAAACTAATGAAAACATACCTATAGATCCTCCTAAATGTTACACACTGGACCTTTAAATTACCGTCTGAAAATGTACTATTGGTTACCTTTGATGTTGAATCACTCCACATAACGGAGGCATTAATGCATTGATTTTTTCCCCTAGTTTTAACTGTATTATGGAATCAACCAATCTTGTACTGACAACAAAACGTTTTTTATATACAAGTAGGATTATTTCCTGTAGTGGGAAGTACAGACTTAAGACTTGACTTGCATGAAATGACTTGTGAAGATCTCTGGCTCGCACACACTAAACAACATTTAAACCAAGTACTTTTATACGTTTATATGTTGATATATATATATATATATATATATATATGTGAGTAATTGTAATTTTACTTGAATAAAGATTTAGTACTCTACTGAGCACTGCATATGACAACATAAACATAAATACAGATTAATGATACTATACTGACTTTTAAAATTAGTGACTGAAAGAGAATAATTTTATGTGTGTACAAATAAGCAGTTACCTGTTTGCACAAATCACTGATGTTGTTGGTCCCCATCACATCTCTCCAATCAGAACACATCTCACAATCTAAAGGACTCTGCAGTTTAAAAATTAGAATAAAAACACATATAATAATTATATAATAATAATAATAATATATATCGTTTATTATTATTATTATTATTATTATTATTATTATTATAAGACTTAGGGGGACTTTAAAACCCACATTGTGATGGTAAATAATAGGTTTCATGGTCGGGGGCGATCGCCTACCGACCTGGTTTGATCGTGGTTTCCAGTGTTTGAACTCGCATCTCTTGACACATTGATGCCGGCTGCGTATTGTATTGCGCAGTTGCTCGTTTGCGTATAAATGAAAGTCTCCAGTGGTTTCTTCCGAACAGTCTCCATGCTGATTAAACACCAAACACCAGACAAAAAAGAGGAGTAGTGAATGAAAAGCAGATGCGCTGTGATTGGTCCGCTTCAGCCAATCAGGAAGGTTAAATGTTTGTTATGGTTTATGATGCAAGATTGAGGTTTTACTGTAAAGCTCCAGTAATGAGCCCTTATCACTTTATTGATGGTAAAGAAGTGCAGAGTAAAGCATGACCTCAATATTACACTGAGGTTGGTGAGTGAAAGATTGAAGCAACATCGCCATGGTTAATAGGGTCAACAAGGTTTGATGGTGAAACTTAGATTCATACTGCTGTTCTGTGGAAACCTCAACAGTTACAGCAGGGACTGTAATGTGGTTATGAGGATGATCTTTAGCATATATGAGACAATCCAATCACCCATTGACCCAAAAGGTTAAATTCAGTCTAAAAACCCTTTGTTCTAATGTCTCTTTCTGTCTTTTCTATAAATGCCAGCTAATTATAAGAAGAGCACTTTTTTAAAATACTTTTTATTCATTTATTCAGGAAAGTCGTGCATGTTCAGCAGATTAATCTTGCTGTGTAAATCAGTGGGGTAGCAAGGCTTTGCAATGGCGGCAATCGATCAGCAGGGGTCGCCATTTAGAGGTTAGATATTGCACAGTGAAATGTCTGCGAGATGGACTGTTTCAGTTGTTGATATAAGTCACAATTCATTTTGATAAATATATATGCCACCAACAATAGGTTTAATAATTTATCATTGTTCCAAGAGTCAAGAGTCTGTCAGCTTTATTCAATTTATTCTTGGAGGGGATTTTAATACAATTTTAATTTTAATACTCACTTTTGATTGACTATAACTTGATGGCATCCAAAAAATACAACCTCTGACTGTGAACTCAATCATACATGTTTAGAAAGAAAAACCCTCAACAAAAGCGTGTACATGGTGCAATAAGAATTTGAAACATTTCTAGTGATCCTGTTGATCTGCTTGTAGACGTTTTGATAGAACCAGCTATTTGAACAGATCATAAAGGGATCTTCATTCAACCTGATCAAAAGGATACTTTATCATCAGAGCAATGTTAGATAAAGGAGGAACTGAATATGACACTTGGTTTTCATTATCAATTAATCTACAGATTATTTTCTGGATTGATTAATTGTTTGGTCAACAGCTTTGGGTTTTGAACTGGCAAAACTAAATATTTGTCTTGTTTTATCAGTCCAAACCCCAAAGATATTCAGTTTAATATGATATGAAACATAGAAAAGCAAAATATCCACATTGGAGATGCTGAAAACAGCATATTCTCCCAGTTTGGCATAAATACAATATGTAATAACATAACTGATTTATTTTTATTGATCAACTAATCAGTGAACTAGTTGTTTACGTTTACGTTACACCACACACCACTCAAACACTAAATCAGAAATTCCCACAATATATCCTTTGTTAAAATTGATAAACTGGTAAAGGTTGATTTTATTATTGTTAATATTATTTTAAGTTAACGACCAAAATAAAGATCTATAAATCAGGAAACAAAATACATTGTTTGATCTTTAATTTACATTTTTAATGAAATTCTATATAGTGTACATGAACATACAAGTTGTCACAAATCCCCTGATCAGCTTAAATTCTGACCATAACACATTTTAAGTAGTGAATATATAAATGTAGTGCACAAGATGCTCTGCATTCTCTTTGTCCCGCCTTCCTCCTCTTATTCTCTGGCCTCCAGTGAGTTGATGGCTTTGAGCTCTGTAGAAAACCGCTCAGCCAGGTCTCTGTTGGCCTGCAGGAAACCCCCCAGTCTCTTCAACTGCTCAGTGTCCTAAGGAAGAGACAGAGAGTTGGTTGAAGTCATGTGACATATTTTATGTGAAAGTGCATGTGGACATTTTTGTTTGTTCTTTTGCACCTCTGCCTTTGTGACATCTGTATCATCTTCAGCAGCAGTAGCAACATGCAGTAACTCCTGCAGTCTCTCTTGTAGTAACTCAGTCTCCCACTGGCTGATTAAGTCAGGGCTTGTCTCCCATTGGCTGACAGAGTCGCACTCTATTCCATCCATGTTAGCAGAATCCATTCGGTCCAAACCAGAGACACATATTGACAAATCAACGACCAGCATCTGGACAAACAAATATGCACACAGACACAAACTGAGACACCAAATAACACTAATGCAACTGGGACTGGAGAGCTTCCAAACACACACACACACACACACTCACTCACTCACCTCCTCTATCTGTTGGCCGACTCTTGCCATCTGTGGTATGGGGCTGAACTGCCTTACAAGGTTTTTCAAACTGGTCTCATAGTGCCTCATCCAGTCATTCTTCACACGCAGCTCACAAGAATGCATCAACTCGTTCCTGTAACGGATCACCTGAAACCACACACACAAAAGAAGAAAGGAAAACTAAATATAATATGCACTTTATTCTTGTGGTGGTTAGGCAATGACTGATGCACACACCTTTATTTATTCTCCTTTTTAGTTTGCAAAGTCTCTTTAAATGTGAATGTTATATATATAACTCCCCATCATTTAATGATGTGCTCATATTTAGTGTGCATATTTTATTGTTATAAAACAATCTATTTATATACTTTGTATTAGTATATCTCATGTTCCCCCCAGTATATAAGGCTTTGTCATTCTGACTTAAGAAGCCCAGTTTAAACAATATGAATATTTACCTCTCTCACACATTTTAGATCCACAGACTGGAAATAATCACAGTAGTTGATTAGGTTGAGCAGAGCAGAGGCATCGCATTGATCTGCTGCCTTCACCTTCCCCAGACCCCGTGGCATAAAGGCCTACAGAGAGATAAAGAGAGAGAGAGAGAGAGAGGGAGAGAGAGAGAGAAAGGGAAGGAGGGGGGGAGAGAGAGAGAGAG